TCCCCCAAATATTACATGATGCTTAACTGCTGAAATATTATAATACATGTAAGAAGAACTTTCTGAAAGCCTTCACTTGACATTCAGCTTCATATTTCAGTTCACTTAAGACTAAACTTTATGGTAAATGCACACCACACATATCAATTTGTTGTGGATAATACATAAACATTGTATTTTGCTACAGTTGACTTAGCACTGAAATCCTTCGTATGGGTTTCCTTGGCATCGCAATCAAAAAGGAATTAAGGCCCGCTTTCTTTAATGGTTGCCTATGTGCTCAGACAGGAGGAAAGCAAATCACGGATTTATCTCACATCATAATGACTTGGGAAGCTAATGTAGCATTGAATTGGGGCTGCTGCTTCAAATTTCCTTGTTGCAATTCTACGCAAATGAACAAACAGTGCCACAGGCATGGGGAGAATGAGAAATATGTTATGGCAATGGATACTCAGGGAAACGATGGTCACACTTTAATGTAAGGAGATATCCCATTGGGGTATAAACTGGGAGTGAGGAATATCACAACACAGTTTAATGGTCTCAGGAGTACTATTGTGGCTTGATTGGTTAAGGACAACTGCGATCCACGGCCAAAGACTTATTGAGTGGAGAAGAACTAATCTACCATTAAGTGATAGTATTGAACTGTTACCACATGGTTAAAAGTTTTGGGAATTGAAGTACAGTATGGTTCGCACGTTTTAAAGAGCTCCTTATGCATGAAACAAAGTGGAAGATTGGGTAAATCCTTAGACAGATGGTACACCTGTTATGTACATGTAGGTATGCTTCTAACCAATGGCTTTGCAGAATGACATATAGATAATATACTTTATTTCTTTACCTCATACCAAAGGACTAAGGCCAGGCAAGGAACTAGTGGTAGTATTTTATCCTGACAAGGGCAACCTCGTATCTTCTACCAGTCCCTTTGTGAAGTTAACAACCTGCAAAGACTTATGTGACGGAAAATGTATGAGCCCAAGCAACAAAAGCCTTCAGCAGCCATCAGAAAAATCTGGTCGTTTGTCAAGTTGATCCACATATATGAGCCGTACTTCAAAGGAGGATACTGATAGCAGACATGTAGACTGCTCCCTCGGAATAGTGACGCCTTGCTGTCAAACTATGGTTGACAAATAATTCAATTTACATCATCGGTGTTAGAAATACCCATCTACAGTCTGCATTTTGCAGAGACAATTTCAACATTGCGGAACAAAAATTAAGCAACCTGCAACTGTGCAGACTGAAAAAATCAGGCAAGGGGTTCAATGGAGCTTTTGTGTTACTATTGACTCTATAATATACAAGTAATTTTGCAGATATTTTTCAAATTGCATGTAAAATGTTTGCCAACATGCAATGTTGTATATGCCATGTTTAGATCCCCACTTTTAAGTGTGCATTTTCAAAAAGTATTTTTGAATTGCTGAAAATGTATTTTTGAATTGCAGAACAAAATTTTGACATTCTGCAATATTGCAGAACCACTGATCATATTCCTGGAATCTTACATGTAGGTAATATTGTGTATATACAATTTCTTGAATTTTCAATCCTCTATAAAATATAACCTTTTGTGAAATTCTATAGGTAACTTCAGAATGTTAAAAAGTAATACAGCAATGGCTTTATTCATTCTTCTGACAGATGTAAGGAATATACTCAGTGTTCGAAATACCTGTCTGCAGTCTGCAATCTGCAGATAGATTTTCAAGATTGCAGAAGAAAAATTTATACAATCTGCAATTTTGCAGAAGGAAAAATAGACTCCAGATTCAATAGTTTTCAATTTAGCAAACTAGCACTCTCAGGTCCTATCAAGGACAGACAACACTTGAGCTCCTGTTCTGAAACAACAGGAGCTTCTTCACTAATTTGCATCATCCTTGTCTTGACTTGTCTATCTTTTGTTTCCCTTTGGACTTCCAAAAATTTGTCTTCACTAATTTGCATATCAATCAATACTTTTTGCTTATAAACCTGCAGTTCTCCTTCAGTCTCT